CATCTTTGCTGGTTTTACGTACCCTTGCTGAACAGTTGGGAGAAGTCTCATTTTTGTCATTCTGTTTTTTTAATTTTTCACAAATTCTACTGATCTTCCTTATAGAAGAATGGACTTTGCAGGAACGAAACAACCTGATTTCTTTGCACTGGACGTAAAATACCCGAAATAAAAAATTGGCCCCGTATATGCATGTAATCTGCAAATGTCGTCGAAAGACGATAGTCTTGAGTGTGGAGAGAGTGAACAAGACATTTATTCGATGTTCTGCGCAAAAAATCGGTGAAAGGTATTCTAGAGGCGCTGCGTTACAGTGCCTCGAGCGTGCAGCGGAGGCAAACGAGCGCATCAAGTCACGTCACACGTGAGACATAAGTGCCATCTGGCACTTATGTCTTAACGGGTTCTTAGAAAACAAAGCGCGTGGCTCTGAGACGGGTGGGCGCGCCCACCTCAGAGGTGATAAGGTGTAGAACGCAAGACGACGGGTAAATGCTACCACCGTTTCGTTTTAGCAAAGCGTTGGAAACACTCGCTTTTCCGTGCAAGCGTTGCATTGTCAGCACAGCGTGATAAGCACTATGGTCCTTAAAATTACTTATGTATGCCTTTTCTAGTAAGAGACGCACACGCAGAATATATACGTGTTGTTATGGTGCCCCAGACATGCGCAATAATTGCTTTTTCATTGACAATTGCACAAGAATGAACGCTCCACCTTCAGCAACATAGGTGGGCGCTGCGGATGGGGTCGGCCGTTTCAAGTACCCGATGCCGTTAAGAGTGGACAAACAGACAAACGTACAGACAGACAAACAGACAGACCAAAATTTTTGCGTTGAAGGTCCCCAAGAAAGACTATCGTCTTTAATAGTTCTTGGCATGCAGGCTCCTCAGCTGCTATAATTGTCAGAAGTTTGCTTGGCTGTAAGCATGCATCTGCGCAACGTACCCGTTAAGAGGGGTGAAAGTTCGTTGCAGCGAGCCTCCTCTCCCTATTCAGTCGATGTATGGCGCAGACTACCCCCCTCTCTCTTTTAAGCGAATGGGGCGGGGGGCGCCCCCCCCCCCCCCTCTGGCTCACACCTATGGCCGTAGCCCCATGGGAGGCTTTGAAAAATGACGGGAAAGATAAGAATCAACTGAGTAGAGGTAGAATGCACTATGGTTTGAAGTAAACTTGGCGCCTTGGGATCGTTTTTTTTAATATTACCACAACGAAAACGTTGTCTGCGATTTGATTGACCCCTCAAACTTATGCAAGATTATGGTGCATATTTTATACACAGATGGTTCGCACTGACGTCATTAAAACCACCATGTTGGAGCACCGACACGGTGGCACGCGAAGTTTGTGATGCCACGGCAATGCCGTCGGGACATCGCGTGCACTTTCTCACGTTGTTCATGCACAGAGGGCAATAAAGTTCCGGTCACGTCTTTATCACACAGAAGCAGGTTAACGACCACGTGATTGTGCTGTCTTGGCGTCCTCGGTAACCTCACATGAACGCTATCAATAGCAGTTTACGTGTTGGTGCAGTTTATAAAACTATAAAACTAAAGTAACGTGTCATGCAGAGTCTCGGCAGAAAACAGAGCTTCGCGATTGGTGCCGAGACACCGGAAGTTGTAAAGGAATACGTCTACCAAGGACAGGAAGTAACCGCGGAGCAGAACCATGAGATTGAAATAACTAGAAGAATATGGTATATGAATATAGATGTGGTGGATCACGTTCGGAAATCCTTCTCAAATCATGAATGGTACTACTATCCCCCAAGAGGAAAGTATACAACAGTTATAGCTGAATCTTGCTGAGCAGAAACCCGGAGACTTAAAAAGAGGGTTCAACTTAAATTGAATACGACTCAGCGAGCGATAGAAATGGAATAGGTGTAACTTTAGGAGGCAGGAAGAGGGCAGAGTGGGTCAGAGAACAAACGGGGGTTAAGAATATCATAGTTGAAATCAAGAAGATATGGACATGGGCAGAGCACGTAACGAGTACGCAGGATAACCACTGGTCTGGATTCCCAGAGAAGACAAACGTGTGCAAGGAGACAGAAAGTTAAGTGGGCAGATGAGATTAAGATGTTTGCAGGTATAATGTGCTAGCAGAAAGCGCAGGAGCGAATTGATTGGCGGAACGCGGGAAAGGCCTTTGGCCCAGAGTGAGCGTAGTCAGAGTGATGATGATTACCTCTGTAAAGTGAAGACAGCAAGCAATTTCAAATATGTATAGTTAGGCGGGTTCATGATGAAGTGTTCGGGAGCTTCAAGATATGCTATTACGCAGGTCACTTCGTTGTAAAGGTCACGCACCGTCATGCTCACCTATGCAAACATTATTCGTTATACGCAGAGGTAATTTCTTTGTATAAAGACATTCGTTATAGAAGCCTTCAATCACGCTTATTCTTGGCAGCAACGCTGCCAATGGCGAAAAATGGCAGCAACGCAGCCATTTTTTTCCGGCTGGGAGAGGGGGGAGGGGGTGAGGAAAGCTATCTCTGTGAGTGCATTTCTATGTCTGCGTATACAAATACAAACGCAAAAATGAAAAATTTGAAGAAAAGGTGTCGCAACTGAACCTCTTTAGGTAAGGCCAGTGTTTTTCACACAACAAACCTTAAACACTTTATAAGATTGGAAGTTGTTGCCTTGAATGAATAGCTCATCTTATAACACTGGGTGGGTGTAAGTCGACAGCTTTGAGTGGAAGTAAAGGTTTCTTTTTTTAAGCAAACGTTTGCAAAGTCCTGCTGCAGCTCAAGGTGATGTTTCATTGCGCTTGATACTACGTATACCTTATAACGAGAACTGCGACCAATCACGATAGCGAATGATAAGGAGGCATGCCTGGCAAAGACAAACCGTTTTTTTCGCCTTATTTATGTACCTTGGCTTAAATTTTGTCTTTCACGCTGTGTCCACCTCGGTGGTACCGTGGTCACGATGCTCTGCTGCTGACCCAAAAGTCGCCGCTTCGATCCCAGCTGCAGCGGTCGCATTTCGATGGAGACAAGATATGGTAGAGGCCCGTGTACTCTATGCAAGTGCACGTTGAAGAACTCCAGATGGAAGAAACTTTCGGAGCCCTCCATTGTATCCCATAATCATATCGTGGTTTTAGCACGTAATACTTGCGATAATTTTCAAGCTGATGATAGAAACATTAATAACAATAATACCTGGGGTTTAACGCCCCAAAACCACAATGCGATTGAAAGGCGCCGTATGGTGGGCTTCGGAAATTTTACCACTCGGTGTTTTTTAACGTATACACTTACATAGCACATATACACAAACCTCTACCTTTTCACCTCCATCGAAATGCGGCCGCCATAGCCGGGATCGAACCCGCGACCTTCGGTTAAGCAGCTGAGCACCGTAACTGCAGTGCGTGTGCTACCGAGTGAAATTCTAAAGAGAAGTTATAGCGCGAGAACAAAACGACGACACAGAGACAACAAGAGTGTCCTTCTTGTTGTCTCTGTGTCGTCGTTTTGTTCTCGCGCTATAACTATCGTCATGCCATACCAACTAGCCCAAGCTGCCACACTTCTAAAGAGAAGCCTTGCGAACGCTCGGTAACAGCGACTCGAGCACTCGGACGAGTGCGAGAAGAGAGACTCACGCGTGTGCAGTCCCGCCAACGGTAGAAGAGAGTCCGGAGTTGAGCCCGCAGACTCAGCCAGCGCTGCGTGGACGGCGCGGCGTGGGCGACCGAGCTGAGTGACCGCGCGTGCGTCTCCACGGGCAACTAGCGCGGCCGCTCAATCACAAAAGCCACACCGCCGGGTTGGCGACACCGAGGGCACCGTCGGAATGAAGGGGGAGGGAAGGCCGGAGTGCCACGGCCGCCGTCTAGCCTTCATTGAAATTCGTACTGCCCCCCTCTACCGCTGAGGACGGGCCCCTTGCCACCCTTGCTTCTTCATGCTGATGACGACCGTGCTATTGCTCACTTAATCTTTCTATCTTCTTTCCACTTTTCTCCCTTTTCCCTTTCCCGCAGGCACTGCGCCATGCTCCCGACCAGGTTGCAGAAATTAGGTGCCTTTTCTCATCTTCTGACCACTACCACCACCACTGCCCCCCCCTCCCCCTTTTTTTTCATCCATCGCGTGGCTTCTCGTGCCTGTTTCAGATTTCGATTAATAGCTTAGTAGTGCAATAAATGAGCTTATGCGTACGTGATTTAAACTAATTCGCAGGACGCGCTGCGCCGATTGTGAAGCAGTGCCTTTTTTTTTTCTGAATTACTACGAGTCACATTGACCCTAGCGCAAAGGAGTAAGGGGAGGGTTCAATTCCCACCACTCTCCCCCGCAAATTTTCAATTTTGCGTGTATATATATTCAAATGCTCAAATATTCATAACAGGTGCTTTAGCCTACTTCCTCGAAATCCCCGAAATTCCTGGCTACCCGTTCAGATGTCCAAAAAAAAGAGAGAGAGAGAGAGAGAAACATATCAAGGGCGATTAAAGCCTTTATTTTGCAAAAAGTTCCTTTCTGGTTTGCCCTTTTTGTTTTTTTTTTCATCGTATAACTACCCTTCGTTGTCTCCAAGTACCACCGCACACTGTCAGCGCTGAGTGCGAAATATATTTATTCTTAAAGTATATTTTTGTTTTGTTTTTCAAAATTTGGTGTCATATATAGTTCCGATTTACAGCCGCGGCGCAATTGAAGAACTGTGGTAATGTATTTGGCCTTCCACCAACCTCAGAACACCGTCGCCCCAGAAAATTTCGCTGTTTCCGGACATTTGAACTGACGCATGCGGATATATGACGAATAAAAAAATACAATGTGCTATTACTGTGCGTAACTGCCCCGGTCAATAAATAATTCTGCTTGACAGCGCGATTATAAAAAAAATATCTAAATCCATTATTTGCGTACCAATAGATAGAAAGCAGTCGTCGATGAGCGCGAATTCGCCAGTGTTTATTGATACACAGAACAGCTGCATTTATTTAAAAAAAAAGACTATAACGACAGGGCATTCCTCGGTCAGCGACGAACACAGACTACATCTCTCCGGCAGCTGCGTCTGCGACGCAGTTCTGGAAAGCAAGCAAGAAAGAAAGGAAGTTAAACCAAAGTTAGCGGGATGATTGTTGCATTTCAATTTGTGAGCAGGCCCGTAGCCAGGAATTCTTTTCGGAGAGGGCCCACTTGCCGAATGTCTCGACTGTTTGCAAAAAACATGCATTTTTTTAAATTTCGCTAAAACGCAAAACGCCCCCTCCATCAAAACTTCAGGACGGACGAGGGGGAGGCTGCAAGTCTTCTGAAGCCCCCCCCCCCCCCCCCGCCCTTCTTCTCGGCTACGGCCTGTTTCTGAGCATTATAGATGTTCTAAATACATAACTATATTCAGTTACAATTGAAGAAACAAATTTCAGCTACGCGCCAAGCCATCGCTGTCCCTTCTACTGAAAATTGACATAAATTTTCCGTCCAATAGCGCTTAGTCATTTGCGTGACGTCAAGCACTTCTCAAGTGTTTCATATTGCTGAACTTCCCACACAGACACAGGTTAGTGCCGATAATCTTAGGTCAGCAACAAGAACGTCCTGGTAAATTTCGTCGCCCTGCCACGGTGGTCTAGTGGCTAAGGCACTCGGCTGCTGACCCGCAGGTCGCAGGATCGAATCCCGGCTGTGGCGGCTGCATTTCCGATGGAGGGGGAATAGTTGTAGGCCTGTATGCTCAGATTTGGGTGCACGTTAAAAAACCCCAGGTGGTCGAAATTTCCGGAGCCCTTCACTACGAAGTCTCTCATAATCATATGGTGGTTTTGGGACGTTAAACCCCAGATATCAATTATGTGACCTATGGCACCTTGCGAGACATTATTATGGGATGGTACTCACCTCAAAAGCGTCCCACTTGGGGCGGATACTCTCTGAGATTTCCTTTCTGAGTGCGTGAAAATCCTGGGGGAAGAGAAAGAGAGGAATGTCAGGGTGATCCATGGGCGTTTGTTTCTGTGTTCGCTAAACATCCCTCGCAGTCTCCTGACGTTGAAACCTAACTATCGTAAGGAATCACCAACCACCAGATGCATTCTGTTCTGGACCTATAGGTGTAGTATACACAGCTGGTTTACTGTGGCGGATGCAGGACACTTTCCGAGGAGGAGTGGGGATGGAGGTTCGCTTAAGGGAGGACCTGACAGGTCCCATTTTAGTGGGCACGGCCATCACGGGCTGTTGAGTCGATGTTTTCTTGTTTTCGTCTATGGCGATGCGAATTAATGAGGCATGAAATATCGTAAGCACCAATCCAACCCTTTTCATGCGTATAAATCAACCGTAACGCTGTTCGTTTAGTTGTTGAAGACGCAAAAGACGAAGGCTAACAGCCAAACATGGCGGCACTGAAGCCCCTCGCCCCCTCGTAAATAAATAAATGGCACATCCGTGCTTGAATAAAGCACGCGTAAATAAATTTAAAATAAAAAAATGTAAGAAAGATATGCGCCACTGTGCAGAGGACGATAAAATATAGGCGAAGGAACAAAAAAAAACGAACAAACAAACCAGACACGTGTGGTCTACGTAAACGATCGTTTACTCCATAGTCGCGATTGTAAATGCCCGCTAAAATTCGGTGAATGCGCAGTTTTGTACAGGCACAAGACTGAACAGAGGCACGCTTAATATATAAATAGCAGACACTCGCACATACCAGTACAAATGAAAGTGCATGCGTGAGTCATGCCGTGTCGATCTCGGCGAGTCACGATAACGGTACACGAACAACATGGCCTCGAGGACATAGCGTGGCGCCACCTACGTCATGACGTCACTCGTTGGATGCCACGGTATGCCTGCTGGAACACCGCAATTCCTGCGATTTTGCCACCACGCGTTTTCTTAATTGTGTGCACCACGCGTGCTTCACCCACACGTGCTTCATAACAGTGAAGCTCATTGCTTAAGGAAGGGGCACGACCTGATAATCCGGGCAAGCAAACTATACGAGTCGGTGCCTCTGGTGGCACCGACGTGTAGCATGCTACAATCCTACAATCGCCATACCTAAAGCCGGTGCAGCTGACGCCAGAGGACGATGCAAGTGACGTCGCGAAAGCTCAGCAGCTAATACGTTATTAAATACTTTCCTAGCAGGAATTCTCAGACTTTGTATAAAACGAGCGAGTGAACGTGCACAAACGAGAGAAACGTGCCGACTCCGTATAGACGGGCTAGTGGAATATACAAAGCAAAGGGCTGACTTTCCCTACACGGCTAATTTTTGTTGTGCTCCGATTTGATTGCCATTGATCACCGTTTAGCTTTCTTGTTTTGTTTTACTACTGATAAATTTACTTTTCGCCTCGACTCCCACTTGTCGGCAACGAACTGATGTTAGTTATCAGCGTCTTCGATGAGATAGTAAACGTGACGAAATATTTGTTGCGTTGGGATCTCGCCGCAAGAGATATTTAGGACGCGGGTGCGCTCTTCTTTTTCGTTACTCCGTTAATTTATGGCAGACCCGTCCTTCCTTATCATTAGCGAATTCATCGAGAAACCCAGCTGCTGGCAGCGCTTGCATATACGTCAGCTGTTACCGATCATCTGGGCTGCGGCGGCGTACCCGAAATCCTCGCCACGGAAGTGCTTTCTGCGGCCCCACCATTTAGCGTCGGCGTCTTTTTACCGTTTTTGGCTTTCCCAGCCAAGTGTCACGCATTTCTGTGCATTTGGGGTTAATCATGAAAACACACAGTTGGGTCTGTCGGATACGGCCGGTGTTGCAGGGACGTCGCACACTACACCAACAAGCTGAAGCAGCGTGCAGTGCGTCGCGGTAATGTAGCGGCTATACGATACTCGGCTGCCGGCGCGAAGGTCGCGCGTTCGATCCCCGCAGTGGTGGTCGTATTTCAATGGAGCCGAAATTCTGGAGACTCGTTTACTGTGCTATGCCAGTGCACGTTAAACAACACCAGACGGTCGGAATTTCCGGATCCCTCCGCTACGGCGTCGCTTAATCATATCGTGGTTTCGGGACGTAAAAGCCCAGATAGATATATTATTACTAGAAGTCGCTTGCACGCAATCTAGCACTGCTTGCTTAGACGGCGATCATATCACCTACTGACCAAATTAAGCTTCCCACGCTCAGAACCGAATGCCGCGCACCGCGATTACAATCGAACATCATGTCCGATTGTAACAACGACTGCGCAGCGAGGCGAGCAGGAGCATCCATGGAGGAAGGAGGGAGCATCCTATCTGTGACGTCAAAACGATCGCAGCGCCAGTCTCTCCAGTGGATGCCCTCACGGCCATAACGCATGCGCGAACAGCTAAGTGTGGTGTATAAAAGAACGATTATTGGGCGATTCGTCCAGTCACATCGCCAGCAGAGGCTATGCCTATGACACGCGCTGTCCACATATATCTCTGGCAGCTGTTCCAAGCTCTTCTCAAGTAAGTGTCTAAACTTCGTTCATATTATGCTTCCACGGTTTAGCTCTTCATGCGTAAGTTTCCATTAACTTGCATCTGTGTGTCGGTGTCTTCTATTATGTCTTTCCAGTACTAGAGGGAAGTCAAGCCTACACATCTAGACGCTTGTGAAACTATCCCGTGTTACGCCTGGGAGTCCAGACCGAATGTCATTGCCTCTGCAAAGGCAATCTGTGTCAAAGCCTGCGAGTGAGCCCGCCTGACGTCATCACCTCAATGACGTCATCTAATCCGGCGGCGCCGGTGTGTCTTACACAACGCACGGCGAGCTCCCTCAACCCACGGGACCGATAGCAGCCCGATGATGCAATTGGCGCCATCCAGTCTGGCGACTATTACGCAATGTGTGTCAACATCACTCGTCCATGGGTGCAACCCAGCGGCTGTTCCATCACTGAAAGATTCTGACGCCATGGCCAGCGACGGTTCTGATTGGACGTTGCTCACCGCAGGATTTTGAGACGTCGTGGCCAGCGGCGGTTCTGATTGGACGTTGCTGACGTGAGAACCACTCGGGGTCTATAATAAAAGTCGAGTGGCGTCTCGCCAAGCAGCCGACGTATATATATGTATACATGCGCCAGAGAAAAGACGACAACGTTAGAGCGTCCCAAGACACCTCGGCTGTTCGAGTCCCTAAGCTGATGGCCCCAGTCTCGAATATGTAACGCCTCTATTCTATGTTGTACATAAATCTTGCCTTAACTCACCATCACCTCGTCCGCCCGTCTATCAGCTCTGCGCAGAAGCAGCCGCGAGCTGAGAAACGCGCTGCCGCACTCACCTTGGCGGACCGTGAGATAGTTTCAGTTCAGCGCGCGCAAGGAGAGTCGTAACACCCCTTGGTGAACGAGGAAACTTATAGCTTCGGCACCTGTTTGAAGTGAGCCCCACACACGCATTTATACCGTGGCAAAAATGGTTAGTTGTAAAACTGATTTGCCAAACTCGCACCACTGTTGCCTTCAATTTGGCACGACGTACCGTGGCCACATCGGGTCGTGTCCATGGCGGAAGCGGGAATGTCTAAATGTAATGTTGAGGCGTAGCGAACACTAGGAAGAGTTCGCCTGCGCTGGGAAGGCAACAACTGATAGTTGCCCCTTTACCACTTGCGCAATAGATATCGGCCCATTCCACATGCTATTTCTTCACGACTGCAATTTCACTCCGAAATACGCCCGGGCGTGAAATAATGTGAATGTGCGCATCCGGAATGTCGGTTTCGCACTTGGTCTACACTGATTGATATGTGGGGTTTAACGTCCCAAAACCACCATATTATTATGAGAGACGCCGTAGTTCAGGGCTCCGGCGATTTCGACCACCTGGGGTTCTTTAACGTGCACTTAAATCTGAGCACACGGGCCTACAACATTTACGCCTCCATTGAAAATGCAGCCGCCGCAGCCGGGATTCGAGCCCGCGACCTGCGGGTCAGCAGCCGTTACCTTATCCACTACACCACCGCGGCGGGGCCTTGGTCTACACCGTTGCCTACGGTCCGCAGCCCAGGCAGCGCGCTGCGGCTACAGTATATGTCCTATTTTTTTTTCTTCCTTCTATCTCTAGTTTCGTACCAAGCCGTGTTTTCATCGCTGGACGTGATCTCAGACGAGTCCGTTTCTACGAATGCTCTAATCGCATGCAGTGATTGGGTGCTTTCCGCTGCCTTTCGTCCTGGACAATGCGGTGTCCTTAGTTTCACGTCCACGACACGCGCCTTCACCCTTACAATCTTCTCCTGCCACCCAGTCGTGTCCCACATTCACGACGTTCAGTGCCTGCAACATCTCGACTATACTGGGGTACGCCAAGAAATCTGCGTGTAAGTATATATTGAGCTCTTCGACGTACTGCGAATTTGTGTTGGTGTTCTAGTAAGCACCGAAGCGCTCGCTTATCATTTCAGTCCACGCAATGGGTTTTGGCCACATGGTCAATCGTGTCTCAGACGAATCGAGGTCCAGCGTCTGGCAGTCTTTGCGCTCCTCGTGGCTGCTGGGTGCCCTGGCGCTTCAAGAAAACGGGGTTTGCGGACCTGCTACGTCAGTTGTGCGTAAATGTACCGATTTTTTGACACGTGCCACAATTTTGTGCTGGCGTGTGATTATCTGTTGTTAATTGTCTGTGATTTCAGTCTTGCAGCAGCCTTCGCCACCTGGTACGCACATCAGATCACCTGTAGCGCCCCACAGTGACGCAGGCCGATCACGTTCAGCGTCTGTTGTCTCGTGGTCGACCGAGTACACCATTATGCCTCATAGGTGTCTGTAACCCTGTTGCCTGCAGTGTGTCCTCTGTTCTCCATTGAAAGCATGTAAGTATATTGAGTTGTATACAGTATATGACAGCGCATTGGCAAGATGTTCCCCCTCAAGGTCTTTCCGCCTGCAGTCGATGACTTCTCCTGCTGACAGCAAGCTATAGGATGTATATCTGCTCATTACCGATATCTACGCGCCATGTACCGCCACTCCAGAAATCTGAAACCTCATGCCACCACACGAGGGGTCCCCGTATACATCGTGACATCGTTGTGATGCAAGTTCTCCTGCAGCTGTTCTTAGCGCCGTATTAGTTATGTACTCTTGATTCACTCTGTGCTTTAGGAACGGTACGTTGGTGCTGGTTTGCATAGTGAAGCTGATCGCCTGCGCCTCTATTTATCGTATCGGCTTCATTTATCACGAGGTGCGTTTCCACAGTTCTCGTGTCATCCATCTTTCAAGTAGTTTCAAGTGGAGATAAGC